CTGATTGGGTCTGAGCTAGTGCTAAAGGACCAGGAAAGAGATCTTAAGGTAGTCAAATTCAAAAGGTGGACTTCGGGCTGGCTTCACATATTAATTAGTAATTTCATCATGATTTACTGAATTAGGCATAATGGCTACATTTATAAACCTAAACCACAAACCATGGTTCAGAGATAATCAAGCGCTTGTTCATGTATCACTTCAAGCCCCAAGATTGATGTAGGGACAGTTGACGTTGAAGACTTTAAGAAAGTTATAAGTAGAATTGTCTTTAGAAATCTTTATGCAACTACAATTAGTTGCAGTAATTGAACCAGAAAAAGACATTATAAGATAGGAAACATTATGAAAAATAATCAAGAGGTAATAGCCAAAACCACAATGTTTAAGATGTTTAGGTCAAAAGGAAAGAGATGGGAGGAGATGTGACAGTATCTTCTTCTTCTTGTGCCATATCCATCATTGGACGTTGGCGATCATGTTGGCAATCCTATTTTTGTCAACAGCCACATGAAAAAGTGCTGCTGAGTTTTGTTGTGATGGTATAAAATTAATTATTATATATAGGAAGTGGAAATGAAGGTTATCTTCCTTTATAATCTTAGAAACAAGATCATCCTATGAAGCTGAATAGGAGGAAATATAAAATAATTATTCACTTAATAAATAGCTAAACAAAGGAACAGGAAGTTTTGTTGGCTTTGAAAGGGTGTTAAACAATTTAATGGTCCATAAAGAGTATCCAAAGGAAAAGCAGAAGGCATATATGAGATTATATTAATGAGCCAGTTAGGGTTTCTCAACAACCTGGGATCACCGCACAATAGAATGATCTGATCTGGACAATAGATACCATATTTTTCAGAGTATAAGACGCACCAAGATTTTGAAGAGATAAATTAAAAAAACAACATTTTTGCACTTTGCACACCTCCCCCAAATGGCCTGTTCTTCATGAAAACGGGCCCGTTTTTGTTTTTCATTTAAAAAGGGTATAAATAGCTTTTAGGAGGCTTTCGGGTGCTCCTGTGGGCTGAGGGGGCCTGTTTTTCGCTCATTTCTGCCCTCCTCAGATCCAGGAGCACTCTGAAAGCCTCCTAAAGGCTATACATAGCCATTTTGGTGAAGGGGGCGGGGTTTCAGGAGACAAAAAAATGATGTATTCAGTGTATAAGACACACCCAGATTTTCAGCCTCTTTTTTTCAGGGAAAAAGGTGTATCTTATACTCCGAAAAATACGGTAGGTCATAAAAAGTCAGGTCTTCTTTCAGATGAACCAGAACACACCCATGTAGTTTGGTAGACTCTTCCTGGGTGTTTTTCCAACTTCCTCAGTTGGAGACTATGTGCCATGCCTATGTAGTTTTCTTGTGACACAGAAGAAGGTTGGCATCAGCTTCTTTGGGAATGTTTGTTCAGCTTATCCATCTATTTCCTGGTATTCCCCCATCCCAAGTTAAACCTGCTTCGATTTTCAAGACAGCCAATACTAATTAGGGCTAATTAGTTAAAAATATCAAAAAATATAAGGGAATCAAATGTTTCATTACCTTCACAGGTGAAGCCATCTGGCTGAAGCTGGTAGCCCATGAAGCAAGAACAGAGGACACTAGTTCCTGTGTCCCTACACTGTTGGGTACAAGGTCCTCCACCTAAAACCCAAGAATTATGGCAGAATATATTCCTTTCTCCAAAGATTGGCATATTTTCCAATAGCAATTTCCCAAGCCATATTGATACACTACTGCAAAGGACTTGCAAATAGGACATTAAAAACACATGCAATCCACTTCACCAAGTAGTGAAGACCACTCAGAAGCGGCAGTAACCCACCCAATGACAGCAAACCTCTCTAGTAACCAGGTGGGATTAATTCCATGGACCTTCCAGGGGCTGCCAAGATGTTCCTCAATATGTTTCAAGGTTCTAATTTTAACTTATGAAGTCCTTCAAAACCTATGAAGCATTGTCAGGACTGCTACATCCAACCATCTATCTAATGATACCCTCCCAGGAGAAGCATTGGAAGTGAGGGGAGCTGAGGGTGGCCAGGGGTGGGATTCAAAAATTTTAGCAACCGGTTCTCTGCCCAATTGCTTGGTGGGTGTGGCCATGGTGGGTATGGCCTACTCAGCCTCCTGCACCACCTGTGGGGGGGAGGCATTTTGCCTTTCCCAGGCTTTGAGGGTTTCCTCAAACCTCTAGGAGGGTGAAAATAGCCGCCCCGGGCTCCAGAGACCAGAAAAAGGCCCATTTCCAGACTTGCAGACTTCTGGGTGGCCCATTTTTCGCCCTCCCAGACCCTTTGCGCGGACCCTGCACTTACCTGGCATCCAAAACGGGCTACATGGAGATTACAGGGAGGAGAGGGGTGCGTGTAGTCCTTGCAACTACCGGTTCGGTGAACCAGATGTAAAATTAGCATTCGGTTTGCCAAAACTGGTCCAAACCGTCTGAAACCACCCCTGATGATGGGCTGCCCCTCTAAAAAGACCCCCACTTATAAATTACAGCCTTCCAAAAGCTGATACAGTAACTGATTGTGCTAAAAGGTTTTGGATCAGAAGTGTTTCCCTAATCCACCATTTTAGCCACTGAACCAGATTGGCTCCTTTAAATTGTAAGGCTATTTCACAATACAATTGTGAAATTCAATTTAGCCCACAGCCCTGGGATTTTGTGATGCTCTCTTATCCAAGAATTAACCAGCTTCAAACCTGCTTCAGACAAGGTCAGTTAAGGCTTGCCAAATGGAGAACTGGTATATTTTAGAAGGTAACATTGAATGACAACACTGAAATAACATTCACACTTCCTCTACAAACTCTCAAGTTTATCTAACACCAAATGCCTGTTCTCTCCGATGGCCCCTTGTCAAAATATGAACAAGCTTACCTCTGCAACGGTCATTCAGGTAATGGTCCTCAAGGTTAATTTCCACTGGAGAAAACAAGTCAGCATTGAGGAGTGAAAGAGAGATGCACTGTTAGTCATACTGACCTCTTGCTAGAGATATTGGCTGGTTCATTCACAGTCAAAACAACAATATAGGAAATTGGGAAGGTTTCCTTTGAAGCTTTTCCAGTAACATCTAGATCAGGGGTGTCAAACTCAAGGCCCGGGGGCCAGATCCGGCCTGCGGGGTGCTTAGATCTGGCCCATGGGGCCCTGGAAACAGCAAAGGACCAGCCCACGGTGCCTCTGGCAGCGAAAACGGAGCTCAGGAGGGCTGCACACGGATCCTCCCGAGCTCCGTTTTCACTGGCAGAGGGTGGCAGGAGGCCATTGCAGATGAAAATGGAGCTCAAGAGCCTGTTTTCTCGGGCAGAGCGCTTGGGCTACCACAGATGTCCTTGACATGAGCTGGCCACGCCCACCCCCGAGGTCAAACACAACCCTGATGCGGCCCTCCATGAAATCGAGTTTGACACCCCTGATCTAGATGTTCAAAATCAGTGCTACTCAACTTTGGTAACATTAAGATGTGTAGTAGACCTCAACTCCCGGAATTCCCCAGCCAGGCATGCTAGCTGGATAATTCCGGGAATTGAAGTCTACAAGTATTTAAAGTTATGGTTAAAAAATACTGGTTTAGATGGAAGAATGAACTCAAAATTGAGATAGTAGATGGTGATACTCCAACTTTGCTCTTCTGGGGACAGAGAGCAGCATTCAACCTTTTTAACTTCTGAAGCAAAAATATATATGTTACAGGTTAGTCTCAGATTCCACAGATTAAATCTCCCTGCACATTTTAATCCATTTTACAAAGAGCGTGCAACAGCTCTCCTGCAGTTCAAAACATGCTGCTCCTTCATCTCAAAGTTGTTTTTTTTATTAATTTGAACAACTTACCCACTTCTTTGTTAGGACCGTCAACAATCCCAGCATCTGAGTTTTCATGCCCTTCAACACAGCAAGCTCTGAACACCAATCCACACTGATAACCCATTAAGAGGCTCTGTTCACAGCTATTGCCTTGTTTCTGGGCCTCTTTCCCCAAAAAGCAGCAGTGACAGCATTTCTGTGTAGCGGAAATTAATGCATTATGTTATGGTAGCTATCCTTCAAACACAGAGATCTAACACACTTTTCACTTGTTACCTTGTGGGATTCATGCAAGGTTTTCCCCAACCTCGGCAACTTTAAGATGCATGGACTTCAACCCTCAGAATTCCTCAGACAGAATGTCTTACAGCTGCCGAAGTTGGGAAACCCTGCGTTTAAGCCTTTCAGAACATTTCTGGAAATATTTGGATGTTTTAAAAGGTTTGGGCAACAACTGCTCAGTTGCAAGCCCCCAAGAAACCTCAAGGATATGACCTCTGTGAACATCCTGGAAGTGTTTGGAGACTGAAATACTTCTATGAAATTCAGAATATGTAACATGTTTTGAATTTGGGACAATGGCAGCCAGACTAGTGATGGCTAAATATTGAGGATGAAATTGGGATATTCAAAGAAATGAGTGGCACAATGAAATTTGGAGTATGGCAACAAATGATAAATTAACAACAGAAATTAAATTTTAAAAAGGAATGATTAAAGTAAACAAAAATGAAATATGGGGGAATTTTATAAAGTCAGTGTTGGTGGAAGGCAAAGGGAATAAACCTACTCAAGAATATATGTTGCTACGGAGGGGATAAGGCATGATTGGAATATATTGTATTATAGATAAAGAAATATAAGGAGGGGGGAAAGGGTGGAGGGGGAGAAGATACACTGTAATATGTGCGGTTTTTTCTTTTTTCTTTCTTTTTTTTTGTATTTAGATGTACATGTATTGCAGTGTTGGGTTACAAATGGTACGCCCTGGTACGGGCGCACCAATGTCTGTCGGGACCACTAGGTACCGTTCAGGTAGGGTGCTCCAGAGGTCCCGCCCACCCGCCTGCACGCTTTACCGGTATCTGAAGTTTTGGGGGCTTCCATACAGGCGCACGGAGGCCACGGTGTCTGCACAACGCTCCGCCAAACAGCTGGAGCGTCGCAGGCGGTAAGTACGCATGCACGCGCTGCACACATTCCTGTGGTGGGCGGGCGGCCCCGTTGCACCGGCATCCAGAACCCACCACTGATGTACTGTTTGTATTATTTGCAGTTTTAAAAAAATTTTTAAAAAGAATTTGGGACATTTACTCTCTGAAGACATTCAGAATTCTCAGCAGCATAACTGCAATCTATAATTGAAATATTAAAAGATTGTTTCAGTTATGACAATATAACAAGTAAAGACAGGAAGGGGGGAAATTAAAATAGCAAGGGTCAAACATGGAGCAATTAAAAGCAATTAAAATAAAAGTCTTCAAGACTCATTAATAGATGAACTCTTGACAAGTGGGTTTTCAAAACAGTCAGCTGCTCCTTTTTTTTAGTTCTCCTGCTCCCTAATCTGAATCAAGTCTGCCCAAATTATTTGCATTATTTTGGAAAGATGCCATTGATCTTATTATATATCTCCTTTGACAATTCTAGATTAAAATACAGCCTGAGAACCCTTCCTCATTATGGAGCTACAGCGGTCTCCATCCCTTAAGATGAAAATTCAGATGTTTGACAGCCATCAACAAATTATGCATTTCACAGCAATATCCTGGAGAAATTATATCCAATTGGCAAGAATTTTTTTTAACAATTCATTTACAGTTACTCCTTTACTGGAATCCTATCCATGTGCAAAAAAAAAAGGGCAAAGAAACAATGAATCCTCACCAGTGGTGGGTTTCCAATTTTTTTACTACCAATTCGCTCGGGCAAGCACACATGCTCACACGCGATATTTCTGCGCATGCGCAAAAGCGTCCACGCAGGTGGGCAGAGCCTCCCGCCGCCGCTACTATCAGTTTGCCTGATCCAGGCCGACCCGGGAACAACCACCTCTGAGCCTCACTGTTTCCTGCCAACTTCCTCTCGTTTCACATTTTATATTTTTATATCCATCTATTAATTTGATATGCTCTCATTATAATAATATTCTGTCACAATATTTTTTTCATTTCTAGCATGAAATGCTTTGTATAGGAGGAGTTGGTACTTTCCACATCTAGCACCGTGGCCCATTGTGAAGTATCCATGCTTTCATGAAGCATTCATCAAAGAAATGGCCCCACAGAGATTCCCCCCGTCTGAAAGCCACGATGCAGATTTAAGCACACGTAACAAATGCAGAACAATCACTAAGAGTGCTGTAAACCAGTGGTCACCAACTGGTGTTCTCTGGACCACTGGTGACCTGCGAGAAAATTTTGGTGGTCCGCAGAAAAACTATTTGCATTTTTGCATTTTTTATATTGCACTAAATCAGGGATTCTCAAACTACGACCCTTGGGCCGGATACGACCCGCCGAAGCAATTATTCCCACTCGCTGATGGGATGGGGTCCTTCAGGCACTTGGCTTGGCTGCCTGTTTAGTAGCTCCACCCCTTCCCTCCCTCCATCCCTGGGAATCCAGGCGCTTCAGTGAGCGGTGCGCGAAACTTCGGCCAGGCTCCTCTAAAGACAGAATTTACAAGGGGCGGATCTAGCGCCCGGGCTGGCTACAAGACAAACATTCATTCTTGGCCGTATTTGAGATCCCTAGCTGCAATGAACAGCAAACCTAGGATTGACCCCGGCACTGCTCTCCGCTAACAAGCAGCCAAGTTAAGTGCCTGAAGGACCCCATCCCATCAGTAATTTATATTAGTGGCCCACAGGATTTAAACATATGAATTTAGTGGTCCCTGAGGTCCGAAAGGTTGGTGACCCTGCTGTAAACGATTTTTTAAAGGGATTCTCTGGTTTTATAGGATGCACCATGAGGAAACAATGAAAACACCCAATATTTTCCATATCCTTTTGTCCACCTCCTTTATAGGAACCCTCAAAGAACCACCCAGGATCCAGCAAATTCTAGAACTACGATGTGAAATGTACCGAAGTAGACCAGGCTCTGATAGCAAAGAAAAATTCCAAATTGCTATGCAGTCATTTCAACACCCCCTCTACAATTTCACCTTAATGATCTTGTCTTCACAGGTGGAATTCTCCCTTGGCAAGTCACAATTTTCTTGCTTACTAGCAATAGCCATTCCGGTAGTGCAATGCAACACCTCCAGCTGACTGAGGCAACACTCTTCCTGGGCTATCCTACAAAGAGAATCAGACAGAGGATTACAGATTAAAAACAAGAGTTGGAAGGGACCTTGTAGGTCATCTAATCCAACCCCCCGCCCAAGCAGGAGACCCTACACCATTTCTGACAGATTGCAGTCCAATTTCTTCTTGAAAGTTTCCAGTGATGAAGCTCCCACAACTTCTGAAGCCAATTTCTGTTCCATTGGGTGATTGTTCTCACTGTCAGAACATAGAGACGAGGTGGCGCAGTGGTTAGAGTGCAGTACTGCAGGCCACTTCAGCTGACTGTTAGCTGCAGTTCGGCG